CTTGTCTGCATGTAGCTACTTCTATGTCATTTCCACGGTGAGCTCACTTGTTTATATCTCTTTGGACATGACCAGCATACTGGTTTGCCAAGCCAACAAGAGAGCAGTGTGGGACATACTGAGGGAGTTTACAGTAAAACGATATCCAATTTTTAATACTGTCTTTGAAAATTAATTATAAGAAAAAATAGTCTGATCTAGAAGCCAAATTCATAAAACATGAATTAGAATGTTTTCCTGATTTACTTTCTGTGAAATGCTGCTGATTTGTAATAATACGGCATGATCCTAAAACAAGGACAAGGCACAAAACCAGCAATGATGAAGTATTTGCTGACTGCTGAATTTGGAAATTACCTGGCTTTTCCATTAGCTGGTTACCTGAATTGGGGTCAGATCCTCAGCTGCAATAAGCTGATGTCACCCTTTTGAACAAATTTACTCTGGCTGAAGATGGGTAATCTTCATTTGGTTAATGAGCAGCTGGAGTGGCAGAATTTCTGAATTTCTCCAATTATGGAAAATGAGTGCCTGTTGGGAAGCAGATGGCTCAGCAGTGCAGTGGTACTGGTTTGTCACAAAGAGAAAAAATATTCAAAGGGAAATATTGAGTGAAAGATCACTTATTTGCTAAAATTCTATTATTCAAATTCTTATTGATATTCTGCTAACCTCTAACCCCTAAAATAAATACTGAGTGCAAGAACTATGTGATGTAATTACACACAGATCATCAGATTTCTTATAATTCCTTGACTTATAAATGTGAATGAGGTGTGGAGTAGATAACTATCAGATTCACTTTTACTCACGAAAGGCAGTATTAAGTTCCCTTATCTTTCACTTAGTGCTCTTCCTTGAGTGATGGCCTAAGTTATTAATACAGTATTTTAAATCTTAGAAAGGAATGTGATGCTTTGTGCATTGCTGCATAAAGGAAGGATGGAACTGGTATGGATGACCCAGAAAGGTCCTTTCATTCTTGAACTCCTAAAAAATGAAAAGCTGCCTTGAATGGAAAAGTATTTTGCTATGAAGATACAGGAAAAATAGTATTTGAGATTTTTAAATAATTCTTTTCTGAATGAAAAGTGTAATGAATGCAACCCACACCTGTAAAGTCTGCATTTCTTCATAACAATTTTTTTGTGAAGAAAAATCATTCTTGAACCTTACACATGACAACAACGTACTAGAAAGTTAACTATATTTAAAATCTGGTGTTAAATTGGAGGAAAAACTGGCTTGACCATCAGACACAGAACAAGTGCCAAGTAAGAGGTGTTTTTACAAAGAAATCAATCTTGTTTTAAACAGCTAAGGATGGACTTTCACTCTGTTTTCCCTTTTTGTATTTGAAAAGTGCTGAAATAGAGGAAAAAGAAGGTTATAACACTTTCAGAAATAATTCAAATGAATAAAAGAAGAGTAAGACTAATAATTACAGAGAAATGTTCCCGGGTTTTTTATGCAGTTAGCACAAAGGGTAATAAGAGCAGATGCTGTTCCAGTCTGTACAATTCTCTAGCTAGTATTGATGTACAATGAAAAGAACAAAAGATAATTAATGCTCTACAAAGAGGACACTCTTAGTAGTAAGCGGATGTCTCAGCATCCATCCTCACATTGATCAAGATTAGAAACTAACTTCACTGGTTGTTTTATGAGGCCTTTGAAAAAGGACACAGAATTATCAAGATCATAAAAAAATGTATTCCATTCTTTTGTGGCTATAGACTCATTTATTCTGCCTGGGAAAGGATGCTGCGATTCCTCCATGTCATTGCCTATTGAAGAGGAAAGTATTTGTGTTATTTTTCAACTTGCGATCTATGTAGTTTGTCTCAAGTGGAAAGGTCCTTCTCTAATCCAGCTGGTCCATAAAACAAATGTCTTCCTGCCCTCCTGGCTGGATGTGTGCTCCAGACCTTCCTGCACATGCAGCCTGTACAGTGTGGTGCCATGCAGAGCTGCCAGACTACAACGAACCAACCAAGTACATGCTCTGCCTGGGCCTTAGCTGCCAGCACTTAGGCCTGCTCTAGCCTAAAGCAGCTTGGATGTACTCAGGCACAGCAGGGCTCTTGCCAATGATCTCTGCCTCTCTCATACGTGTTGTACAGGGCACAGTCCCCCACAGCTGCAGCTACATGGTTCAGAAACCAGCTTTGGAGGTAGGGGAAGTGGTGTGTGGTGGTTCACATCTCACCATGTGGATACTCTGACTGGTTTCTCTGCTGCAGCAGGATGTTGTACACACAGATCCTGGCAGGCACTTTGTAATTTTTAAAGACCTAAGGCATATGAATGGTTCTGTAGTCAGACCTGAAACCCAAGCTTAGACTAATTTTTTGACAGCTAAAGATGACACATACTCAAAAGTACAGGAGATGGAGACCATAGGTTGTTTTGAGCTAGCACTCTTCTGTGAGCATGCTAAGTCTTGCAGCTTCCCTTGACTTAATCAGATGATCCAGAGCATTGGTTGGCCCTGGCTTCAAACTTTCCCATAGCCCATCATGGTGAGATCTCTTGTAAGGGATGCAGGTCTTGCAGTAACATGGCTTATGCTGTATTTAGAAAGCCGTATCACTCTCCATCACATTGGAAAAGACCATCCCTGTCCTTGAGCTGCAGCTTTGAAAACCTGCACACCTGCCCTGCACTAGGACACATGACACATTTTAGTCTGGAGTTTTGTGTGCTGTATACTCATTTCCAGCTAACAGCACTTGCATCCATATCTGAGGATTCTAGGCTCCAGATCTCATGGGTGTGAGATTACAAGGTGCAATTTCAGATATTTTTAGAGGTTTCGAAAACAGAACCCACCTCTATCTCCCACATTCAAATCCACAGCAGTTGTACACATCAGAAGAAAAGACACACATAGACTATTGGAGATGTGCTGTTCTACTGGATGTTGCATGGAATGGCTTAAGTACAGTGAATAGAGATAAAATGTTTTTAGCTTCTTCCATTATTCCCTGTAGGTAGGAAGAGACGAGACCCAGCTGGCATCAGGAACTCCAAGGGCAATGTCCCTTTCCTGACCCAGTACTGTTCAACATTGTTTGGGTGCAACACAGATCTTGGTGCTGTTGGGAATGGGGAAAGGGTACATTCTTGGCTTCAAGGACCCCAGCCTTTGATTTGTGTGGAGTTGGTATTGCTTAGCAGCTGCATCAGAGACACAAGTCAGTGTTTAACTGGAGATTAATCTATAGCAGTTTCTGCAAATAAGGACTTTTCCAATTCCAAAAACCTCTGTAACTGTGGAAAAGGAAGTATTCCAAACCCAAAGAAAAAGCTCGGAGAAATCTGAACTTTGCATACCATTTAGCACAGATATAATTTTACAGCTTTTAGTCATTGAAATCTGTATTGAGCTCTCTGCCTGTTCATGTTGTTACTAGAAATAAGTTGGCTTATTGCTAAGCACTAATAGCATGTATATCGTATAATTGTGTGGGGTAGCAAATTATAGAAGAGCAAAACTTTTCTTTCTATGTTAATTTGTTGATTTGGAGTCAGCAATTTTATTTTCTTACATCAGTATTTCTCCTAACTCAGTCTTATAACCTGAACCACCTATGTTAACATGCTGACTGATCACTACTAGCAGAATTTCTAATTTTTTCTGTACTTTTTTTTGCATGTTTATTGTCACAATCCAGTAATATCACTTAATAAGTATAATAGCTTAATATCACTAATAAATACAATAGATAGATAGATAGATATCACCAATCACATTCGGAAGAAGTGGGGCTACAGGCTAAAGATGGTGCCAAGATCCAAGCAAGGCTCAATAAGTCAATTAGTGCTTAACTGTACAAGTTCTAACTAATGCAATGAAACAGGAATTAGATTGCCCAGCAAACACCGTAGAAATCTTTAGGTGGGAAGAGACAGACAAGCTTCTGCAGAGCAGAACCACTGGGTTCTTCTGTAACTACCAATGAAGCAAGGCAATGTCAGGCTACAGACACATTCTGGTTCAGCTGCGGGAATTTGGAGACAGGGTGACCCAGCCAGGGAAAATGGTGTTATGGATGTTTCTCTACCTCAACCCAAAGAAATTCTGCTGCTCCTCAAGATTTTGCTGTATGTCACCACCACTTCATACTGGTATTATCCTGCGCAGGTGCCTAAAGTCTCCAAGGAAGGTGGTTTTCTGCCTTCTGTTGTCTGACTGCAGCAGTGAGGTCTCTTGCTAGAGCCAAAACAGATCCCCATACTTGAACCACAGTTCTACTTATTTCTCAGTCTCTGTGCTTAAATGAAGAATACAGAATATTAAATCAGTGTCAACAGCAAAGGATAGTCTTGTTAAGACCAGATCCTTAACTCTTGACACCTCGATCTCAAGCTCAACATGATACTTCCTGAAATGTTCCATTGCCTTTCTTTGTAAATGCAAGGTACTTCTTAGTCTTTTGCTCTAGTAAATTGTAACTGTTCTCAGATACTTTCTACAAAGTGTATTAAGAAATCAATACACATAATAAAATAGAGCCTAAAAGGCCTCCAGACTACCATCTAACACTGTGACACCTGAATTGCTTCAGTGAACATGAATAACGGCATACAGAAGCAAATTTATTTTAGGCAGAAAATACAGAACCTGCCACCTTTGCTACTGGCCCCCCAGGAAAACTCTTTCATGTCTCCAAGTGACATGCACCAGTATGTTCAAATCTAACTTTAAAGATAACCCTTCAAGTTTTCCCTCTGGTTTGATCTTGGGGACAGTTATTGCCTCAAGCAGGGCCATCAGCTTTCCCTCAACCCTTTTATTAGACAAGCAGAGGTGGACAATTTTTAATAACATATCAACATGTGAGAGCAAATTTGCTGATTTGCTTCATTATTGCCTAAGGAAGTTGCAGACAAATTGAATCATCTTTTCATTAGAGGTGCGAAGAAGGGATCCCAGAGTGGAGAAGACAGACAAATTAATCTGCATGCATTTTGTTGTGTTTTGTTTTTTTTTCCAGGTACCTCCATCATCTACCCTTCTTGATGTGAAACACAAATTCCACAAAGTGTGTAAGTACTACAGCAGCAGGCTGGAGGCATAGCTAGAAGCCTTTCAGCTTGGAGAAATTGTCAAATTTATTTTTCATTAAGTCTTGCAAGAAAGATGAGCCTGGCCTGACAGCTCTAGTGCTGTGTAAGAGCACTGTTTGGACTAAGGTTCTACTGTAGCTATCACAGATGTGAGAGGCTGGAAGGAGAGGAATGCATGATTTATCACTGCCAGCCTATTAGGGGCTATACATTTCTATCTTCTTTTTAACATTACACAGTGTCAGTTCAAGACCACAACTACATTTGCCCTCCCAGTGTTATATTTGATAAGCTTTGATAACATGAGGCTGCTTCAAGCTGGCCACAGACAAACCCTGTAAACTAAAAAACTACTGTAGTGGGAAACTCAAGCACAGAGTGATTAAATGATTTCTCTGGGATTGTGCAGGCACTCTGACAGACTTCTCAACTGACTCAGCCATGTCCAGTTCCTTGATGGTCAGGGCAATCTCCCTTTCTTCTAGTACCACTTTTCTTGGGTTTTGCATCCATGAGGTGGCGAGAAAATAGAAAGGGAGAGATAATTTCTGCACATATAGACTGCAAACATGGACCTTGTACATGAGAAGAGATTAGAGCAATCACACTTTAAAAAATCCCTCTTTTCTTCCTGCCAGAGAACAGAGCAGTTTTGCTGGAGGCTTCCCTTTTGCCTCTTCCTAGTTACACCCCTCCAGCTCTTACTGGAGGGAGGTTGTTGGAAAGATGGGAGGAAGAACAATGAAAGCAGCCAAGTGCCAAAGTTTGGTGCCATTTGCCTTTGTCCACTGAATTGCTGGTCAGGATTTTGAGGAGTGGGGCCAAATGAGATCTGAAATGCTAAAATTCTGCTGTATCTGAACGTGCAGAGATCCTAAGTGTTGCACCCTTGCTCCTAGACTGTGAAATGCTTCTCCCACTTCTGCTTGTGGGAAGTAAGGTGTTACTTGTGATGAGGATTGAAAAACTTGAGTGTCACCCACGTTTGAGATGTACAGGTCTATGCAAGGCCTGTTGCCCTGAAGTGGGCTTCTTGAAATTGCAGGGGTATTTAGCTGAGCAGAAAAAGTGCAAAAAGAATTGAGGGTTGGAAGTGAAGGCCAGAGAAACTCAAGTTAGGAATGAGGTAATGAGATATTTGTTTCCAAGAGAGGACAGTTTACTGTTGGAGTAATCATCTTAGATGATGGGCTTTCATTATTTTTACAAAAAGGGTGTATTCAACTAAAGGCTAGATGCCTTTTATTAAAAAAAAAAAAAAGGAAGGTGCTTAGTCAGACACTAATACTCTGGAGTTCAGAGTAGAGAAGTAGAAAAAATATTATGCTTCTCCTCTGTCCTTAGAATTTAATAAAATACTAAAGCTGGAGGCTTTTGTGATTGCACAAAGGTTCAGTTGATGAAGCAAAAGGCTGTTGACCTGAGCGCTCTAAAACTACTTGTTTTCACTCCCTGCAATAGCTTGTTAAATGCAAAATGGTAAAAGTTACCCCCCCCAGCTAAATATGAAAAGACTGAGTGCATAAGTTTTAATATTTCAGTAAGAGTGTGTCCTTCCATCAGTTTATGAAATGCAGAGCATTTCTGAATAGACTCTCTTGAATCAATTGAAACTGGATTTATATTGATGCAGCTTAAATCAGCTGAAGATCACTGGCACAGAGGTTTATCCCAATTTAACTGTAATGAGGTTTTTAATGGATTTGGGCTAAAATGGTGCAAGTCTGTTGTATAAGACATTTTAATGGCTCCTGTTTTCATATTTAGAGATATCTTACTCCCCGTGCGATACGTGAAGCTGAGTATAAAGGAAGCAATACAACAAAGCATGGTACAAATTGTGAACTGAAACTCTTGACAGTGCAAGGTTTTACAGCACATGGAAGGACTGGCATATGCCTCCAATACATTTTCAGTTCTCAATTATTTTTATGTCAATTCCTCACATTACCAGAGTACACTGTATCAGTGTCCTGTGTCCTTTCTTCCCATTCCAGCTCATTGCTTTGATCTCTCTTTTCCAGTTCAGCCTGGAAGTTGTTGTCTCATGAGGTTTCCCCTCCTCCTCCTTCTGTCCCACTTGCAAAGAGCAAGCCTTCGCTTTTTTCTTTTCATGTAGTTTGGAGGATGACAGCTAATAGAATACAGTTGTTTTAGGCAAGAGCTGATAAGGAGCTGAAGTTGATCTGTGGATGCCTTTGGTTAACATGTTATTTTGTACTAGCTCATGCATTCATTTCTGTCATTTTGTGTGTGCCAGACTCACATGTTCCTCCATAACCTCTTGCTGAAACACACTCCTATGCACACCCTTTTACAGTCTCCCCATCTTCATACATTCTCCTTTGATCATGGATGCAATTAAGCTTTCTGCTCAGCTGGTATCTTGTCAGCCCTTCAGTGAGAGGAACCCCCGTGCAGCCATTTTGCAAGCATCTTTTCTGTCACTGATCCATTTTCACTGCCTGACTCAAGAAAGGAGAAAAAAACCTGAATTATGAATTACTGCACAGGAGGATGCTAATCATTAAAATAAAAAAATTTAAAAAAAAATGCAAGTGGCAACACAATATGTTACTGCCAAGTAGTGTTTAAGTCAGTCAAACATTAGTTTAGATCTGTGTTTATATGAAAAGCAGAATATGAACTCAGAAGTCCAGGAACAAATACAGAAATACTCCTCAGCTTTTCCTTGACCAAAACTGTCTCTACTGAAACAACCCCAGCAAAACCTAACCCTGTGTTTTCTGTGGCACTGATTTCTGGAGGGAAATCCCAGTTTTATCCCTTGAGACCTGGGGAATCCATGAGCTTTGTGAAGAATAACCATCTAAGATAAGCTGCCATTTCCATGGGAATTGAAAGGCTTTCTCTTTTTAAGTGGTTTTGAATCAACCCCTGGTCACTGTATCCACTGCCCCTTTCAGGGACCAGCAGCACCAATGGGGTCCACACAGAACAGCAGTTTCCCTATTGCGGCTTTCCAGTCCTTGGCTCTACAGGGATTTTTTGTAACAGATGTTAAATCCAGACTGTCGTTCTTAATAGCAACCATCACACCTGCCCACCATGAATCTACCTAATCCTTTTCAAGCCTACTTACAATTTTGACCTCAGCAAAATCCTCTGGGAAAGAGTTCCACAATATAAGTACATTCTGGAGAAATGCCTATACTTCTGCTGCTTGATATTTTCTGCCAGAGATTGAGTGGCAGCTGAGTGCCTGGGTTTTACTGGCCATTACACTGTATTATCTAAGGTATGGTCTTATTGAGAAGCCTCAATCAGATCGGTGCTGTACACTGGGTGACTTTGCTACTATTTTCCTCATTCTTTTGGCTAGTTGGCAGAGGTGAAACCAAGCCAAAAACTAAGTGTATAAGAAGCAAGGCTCTTGTCCCATTTTTTTTCAGTTGCTTATAATGAGTTAAGTACCTGGCATTTTCTTTATCTTGTAGGCTAAACTTTGCCAGCTCTTGTCCTTGGCAATAACTCTTCACCTTTAATTAATTTCTATCTTTGCAAAATGCATTGTACTACTGGGGAGGAAATCTTACTGATAGAAATGAAAAACTGTAATAATAATGCTAATTCAAGTATCAAATAACGAAAATAAAATACCTTTAGAACAGGTAGTATAGTGAAGCCAGAGATCATTAAATATTTTCAAAGTTATTGCAAAAAAGGTGCTGAAAAAGCCCTTGAAAGAAGAGGAAGAACAGAAAAGAGAGGGGAATAATATCTCACCTATGCCATAACAAACTCATGGATGCAACCTGCACAAGGACGTAGCGCAACACTTTGAAGTCAGAAAAGTGAGCTTAGGGAGACCAGAAATTGCCACCTAGATGGAAGGAGCAGGCAAACGAGGAAGAGCAGATGGGAGGAAGACTTGCAACAGGTAGAAGGAAATAGAGAAGTTGAAGAGAGAACTGAAAACACATGCAGAGTATCCTGATCTGCCAAGAGGAATGAGGTGCTGAAGTGCTCAAGCTGCCAGCTGTCCCAGTAAAAAAACTAACTCCTAAACCTTCAGCTCCAAAATTGCAGGCCCCTCCAACTAAGCTAACAGATGTTATTTGGGACATTTAAAATAAGAAATGTCAATGAAAGTAAATCAGTAAGAAATTGTCAGTAGATGACACTGAAGAATAAACACCATAATTTCTGGACTCTATGAAACTTTAGTGCTATACCATCTTACAACTGCTTCTTACAGGTATTTTTGTAGCAATCCAAAGAGCTACATTCCCTGGAAAACCACTGAGATATCTCCTGTTGCTTTCCTCTAGAGAGAAGACGAGGAGAAAGACAGTGAAATTCCTTCTTCATGGTGGGAACCAATCTCTCCTTCAGCCTCTTCCTTACCAGGCTTGTAGGCCAGTGTGTTAGGATGCAGTAATCTGCCAGGTTTTACCTACTACTCTCGTCCTGCATGTTCCCCAGAAACCATAGGAGAACAGGCAGCCCCTTAGATGTCATTACCCTGCAGACCTCTTGGTCACAGCATACCATGTCTGACTCCCTGCACAAAAGCAAGATCAGAGTCTCCTGTGCAGGCCCATCCAGCACACCATATCACTGAGTCTATCAAACACTCCCACTGACTTCCAAGTGCCTTGAATAAGATCTTTATTGCTTAATGTAAAGAGACACCTTACCATCTCAGATGACAAATGTAAGTAGAAGTACCATATCACACAGTTCTTTTCCAGCTGCATAGAAGGCCTGTGCATAATCTTCTGCCTTCCATTTTCAAAATGACCCATTACTGCCTCCAGCTTGCTTCTTTGCCTGGTTGCCTGTCAGTAGAGCTCAGCTCAGGCAGCACTGAGCAGCTGGAAGGAGAGTAGCATTTTGAAATCAAGAGGTTCGTCTTTGCCCAGAACTCTGAAGCAGATCTTCAAAATACTGATGAGCAGAAGTCATGCCGGACAAGTGAAGAGTAAGAAGAATCTTTTACTGCTAAGAAAATACTA